TTGATGTCGACAGGACCTCTACCAAAACCTCTACTCAAAACTGCATGTTCATTATACTCAAACCCCTAAATTCACAACACCCACGTAATCTAACGAAGTGCATGACGATAAGGAAGACGATTGACCGATCAAGAGATAACAAGGGTGCCATCTGCGATAGTGACCGTGACCATGACCGACAAGGGAGGTTAGCGTAAGGATTTGAAGTTTTTTTTTTGTAATTTTACAAAAAAAAAAGAGTTTTTTATATAAATATAATCAATTTTAATGTTTTTAAATAAAATTCAAAATTACTAGAGCACGACACATGTCACCTAACGAAATTTACTAACGGTCGTTATATTCGGGCCACCTAAAATGATAACATTTGTAACATCAAGTACCTAAATGATTCAAAAAAAAAAGGTTGGACATTTATTTAGAAAAAAAATATTTTGGACACTTATTTTATAATTAAGTCTTATTTTTATATATAAAATCATATGTTATTAATATACTAAATATATGTTTAATAATTAAAATTTTTAATGTTTTTAAAATATTATAAAATAATCATATTTAAACTGAATTTCTTTTAAAATTCTTAATGAAATGTCGTGGTCTAGTTCATGATCAATGTAAAAATCTCTACTTTAGCAGATCATATTTCAAATTTTACTTCAAACCCGAGTAACAAGGATTCGGATCATGAATTCTGTTTTTGATTCTTACTATCAAGGTATCGAGTTTCGTGGTTAGCAATTTTTTTTATTAAAAGAAAAGGTAATGAGTTTCTGCCATTGATTCCCCCCTCCGGCGGCGGGAGTTTCAGATTAACTCGATAATTTCGAAAGCTGATCAGAATTGCATGGATCTGGTTTTTTATCATATTCAATCCAATAAAGCAAAAGAAGTTGTTAAAAATAAAAAAAACTCAAAACATATTTCTTATCAGTTATGATTCAAATACGAGATGATTATTAGATATGAATGTCTATTTTGTAAGTGTTACGTATATTTAAGAGATCGCACTCATAAAGAAACTGTATAAATCCAATGGCAGGCAATGAAACAGGGATCGAGAGAGAGAGAGTAAAACAAATTAATTAATTAATGACCTTCACCGCCGCCGAGCTTGACACTCTTGAAGGGAGTGCGGTATCGCAAGAACTCAAGCAAAGTAATGGAAGGATCTATACCAGATTCAGATAACTCGTACCTTTCTCCATTAATAGCGAAAATCAAGCTCTGCTTTCTTTTTTCTTCAGCGGCTACCTCCCCCATTTCTCTCACTCAAGCAACTCAATGAATGAAACTGATGCCACCGTGAATGTAATGGATTGGATTCGCCAATTATAAAGGCAATAATATTCAATAAAATATTAATCATTAGAAAAAAAAAAGGAGCCTCCGTTTCTCAGGAATGATGCAAGTTCTTCAAAATATGCGTATCTTAACCAAATGATTACGAAGGAAAATGCGATTTGTATTAGAGGAGGCAAAGTCAAGCTTAAGTTGTGGAAAAGAACGAAGGTCTTTTTTGTCATTCTATTAAAAGTAAATTAATTATAGTTATTGAATTTTTTTATTGATAATCATAAACTTAGTATCATCATTATGGTTTGAACTCGTCTTAGGAGAGGGCTCAACACTTCTACCATCAAACCAATTATTCAATCTCAACTCAATTATTATCATATTATTATAAATATTATATTAGAAACTTTATCTATTTTTTCGAAACGTGACAAACGCATATTTGAGATTTATAAATAAATCTAATAGTGATTTAGTTTTATATAATTATATTATCCTATCTTACGGTTGTTAATATTTTCACGTATTAAAATGGTATTAGTTAACTAACAGACAAAAATCATTAAATTATCAATTTTTAATAAAAGTATCACTTCACTGTCATCACGATTAAATTAGTGACGTAACAACATTAATAATGACCAATATTAATTTATATATATATATATATATATATGTATTTTAAAATATCTCTAAATATCTTGATTATATAATTATAAATATGATTTTTAAAATTTATTGATTAAAATTGTGTATTATGTGAATTTATTATAAAATTAAATTAATATATTTTTACGATTATATATCATAAGTCGTGTGAAATCATAAAGAAACAAAAAACATTAGATTTCTTTTAGGAAAAAAGTATTGATAATATAGAAATTAATAGGTCATCGAAACCTCAAAAGCTTGAGTATTAGAGTTGTAGTCAAAAGCTTGAGCAATATTTGAGATTAGGATTTAAGATTTTAAGGTTTAGGGTCTGATTTAGGATGATGCGATTAAACTTCGGGGCTAAATTGATGCGAAAATATTATAAGGACGAAAATGATAAATCAAATATACTATAAGAACAAAAGTAATGCTTAAATCTAAATATTTTAATCATATGTTTAAAAAATATCAAAAACTATTTTATAGTAAAATATTTTTCAAGAACCAAATCAGGCACAACTTAAAAACTTTTGTTTAAGTCCAGATTCCAGTGCCTGCTCAAGGAAGGATTTATAGATATCCATGAGACTCACGATGTCTTTTTTTTTAACCCAATCTCCTTGTATAGGCCAAGCCTAACTCAGACCCAATTCTTTGAACAAAAATTCCTATTTAACCATTATTCAATCCGTTTTAAATTTAAGTCATGCAAAGCAGTATCATATTCAAGCTAACCTGTCCTTCTAAATCATTCGAATATCAGTCTGCAGTCTCGTTGTTTCCGATGTTAGAAGGCTTACCTCCATCTGCAATGCCACAGATTCAAAATAACAGTCAGTTTAGTCCAAATCAATTGAGAATTAAGATAAACTTGAAAGAAAAATGAAGCAATAGACTTGCCTCAGTCACTCACTGCCACACTGTAGGCTATTGCATGAAAGGAAAGTTAGGTACACATGAACTTGCAGATAAGTTCAAAGAATTGAATAAGCCTGCAATGGTATCAAGCTGCAGGAGATAAAAGACGGTGAAAGTTGAAACAGTTGTGCTAAAACATAAAGAATTTGTCTCGAACACTCGAAGCATGCAACACCAATGTCTTCAAATGATCTCATTACCTTTTCGTAACATGTTTCGATCTAACAAATACTGTTTCTTTTAAAACTATTCGATTTCAACTTTCAGTACATACTACACTTGCATTAAAACTCAAAACTAGAGTAAACATCAAGATATACAAATTGCTTACATGAATATAGATAGGAACGTGGGTTTATATACATATATACAGAGTTTGGAGCTCTGATCTATCTCTACATCGGAAAACCATAGTTTTGATACACTAAGGACCCGTCATCGGAAGGTAAGTAGTTTGGACAGGGCAATTGTTGCAGTGAAGATGTCTGACCACTTGACACCCAATTTTGCTCATCAGGTGCATCGACCATACTGTTATCGACTGTTGTAATGTCATGGATGCTCGATCTTTTTCTCTCCTTCCTTATGGAGCTCTGTCTAAGAAAGTATTTCTGAGCATGGCTAGCCACTTGAGTCGGTGTCCGAGTTATCACTACGTTTCTTGATATACTCCGCCAATCACCCTTACCAAATTTCTGCAGACCAGTTAAAAATAACCTGTTCGACGTATCAATAAACATGAGCAGAAGAAGGAAATCATTCATTCAGTTGAACAACAGACAAAACAAGTAGCAGCATCAAATAGGCACCTAATATCGAATTGAAAACAGAACAGTAGATTAACAATCCTATGAACAAAATCAATCCATAAAACGCAAAAATCTTTATGAAAGTTTAATTCGATTGTTATATATCAGTGAAAATAAGCTGAAGAAAGTAAATCATTCATTCAATTCAACAAACGATAAAAGGCGAACAACTTCTTGAATCAAAATAGCACAAACCCAATCAACAACAGAATGGTCGATTAACAATTCTACGAACAAAATCAATCAATAAAATGCAAAAATCTTCATGAAGATTTAACTTGTTTGTCATATCAGTGAAAATGAGCAGAAGAAAGTAATCATTCATTCAATTCAAAAACAGATAAAATGAGAACAAGTAGCATAAAACTCTTCATGAGGATTTCATTCTCTCTCTTTTTTCCTTTGACAATATGATTCAGATAAATCATTTCTTGTTGACAACTCAAAACTGACTAAAAGTCAATATAGTACACCTAAAACACCACTTTTATTGATAAAACCATTTCCAGATTTAAAATCTATTATAAAATTCAATTACAAAACGAATATAAAACAAAAATTAAGATACCTGTGTTCCTCTTCTGTCCACGGAGTTCCTTTCTTTCTCTCGTTGTCTACTTGCTGTTGTTTAGATTTTGAAGTGAAAGATATCTGATTTTCGGAATCACAACTTGACGATAACACAGATGGATCATCAGCATAATTAGGAACTTCAATTCGACCGGCATCGATTTCGTAAACATCGTGCACAAGCACGTCAAAATGCTCTTTCACTTCTCTCGCCGACTTTCCAGGAATCCTGTCGGCAATCCTCTGCCACCAATCAGAGGTTTCTTCCTGGAAGATAACCAACGCATCCTCAAACAGCTTATCCTCCAAACGAGTCCACTGAGTTGTAGAATCCCGTGTCAATGACTGAGTTAAGAAATCGCTTTGGTTCTGCGGATCCATACGTTTTTGCTTGCCGACCTTTTGCGTGTCTAAATGAACTTTCTTGAAGCTTTTATTTTGCAATGGAAACGGGAAAAAAGAGGTTTTGGTTTGAAATTGGAAGGTTTAGGAATTTTGATATTTTGGACATCTGTTTCTCCTCAGTTTTTTCTTACAAGAATCCTCAGTCAACACGACTTTCTCATAATTGGATAAATTTTTGTTAATAAATCAACCTGGCTTTGGACAGCCTACTACTCTATCTCCTTTTATCCTATTGCATATAAGATTAGAATTTTATTGTTGTTGTTTTCATTCCCTGTTTTTTTTTTTTTTTTAACGGGAAATGCCAGCATATTATTAAACAAAAGTTCAGCAACAATAAAGAAAGGACCGAAGGGACCAGCTGTAAAGCATAATGGTCCCTCGAACAGACAAAACGCGGCAAACTAAAAAAGCAATCCAACAAAACGAAAGGGAAACTGCTGGCCTTTCAATTTCTTTCTCGAAACTAAGAATTATCAATGATGCGAACAGGAACAAGAGGAAACACTTAAAATGGAGCCTCTTCTCTGCAACAACGGACTGGATTGAAATCTTCAAGGCGGATCGATCCACCTGCGATCTACGGCCGCCTGGTGCTCGACTGACCATGGGGCTTCCTCCACCCAGAAACGTTCACTCGCTCAGTGGTTCCAAATCTTTCCTCGGCTGCAAGGATGTGGGCCGCCAAATTGCTATCTCTCGGGGTAAAGAGAAAACTGCATGATCTGAAGCGCTCCGATCTGCGTTGGACATCCCAGACCAGTGCACCAACCTCCGAACAATCCCTCCTCGGTGTTGAAAGCTTTTCAATGATGCTCTTCGAATCCCCTTCAACAACCACTTCTTGGAAACCCATGCCCAGAGCCAACTGCACCGCATGCAACGCTGCCGTCGCCTCCGCCTGAAACACCGAGGTAACTCTCATAACCCATCTTCTACATGCAGCCATTATATTTCCATCAGAATCTCGAATCACAACCCCTGACCACGATTGGCTTTGTGCATGTAAAAATCTGGCATCAAAATTAACCTTTACTGCTGGAGCTGATGGGGGCTGCCACCGATGAACAATATGCCGAGTCGGTGCTTCCAACAGACGCTTCGCCGAGGACTAGTCACGACACTGAGACCGAATCATTGTGGTAAGGTCGGTTCTTGATATGTCTTTACCTTGATGATAGCGTACATTTCTTGCATACCAGAGTGACCACATTGTAACCAAGATAAATGGATGCAAATTAGTATGAATATTACTAAATAACCAATGCAACCAATCAGTAACACCCAACTCCGATACTGCAGAGGGCCAAGAAACCTGTAGATCAACCCACACTTGAAGAGCCAAAGTGCAATATCTGAGCACGTGCAATATCTGATTCCACACCAGAACCATACGTAGGAGCAATAGGATTATTCACTAATCTTCGAACACACAAATTCAGTAAAGAGGGCACATAGTTATGATCAAATTTCCACGCTTGCAGTTGAATTTTACGTTGACATGAACTAGCCCAGATAGCTTGAAAAACGGCCGACTCTGTAGTGGAAATAGGATTATTTGGCAATAGTAATATGTATGCGCTTCGAACAGTAAAAAGTCCAGACTTTTCAGCACTCCAGACCCGCACATCTTCTAAAGGGTAGGCAGATAATGGTAAGCTCAGAATTTGGTTAACCACTTTCACCATAAACAGTCGAGATATCAATTCTACGTTCCACCCTTTTGGTACTGGATCTATCAAATCCGCCACCCAAGTGACTTCTGGGTTAGAACTGGATTCCACTCGGCATGGCACTCTGTTTGGCAATCAATAATCATTCCAAACCGAAATGCTCGTGCCTGATCCCACACTCCAACGCAAGCCCATTCCTAAAAGACCCCGCGCACTCCAGATACTCCAAATAAAAGATGGGAAGAACCCAACCTTGAATGAAGAAAATATATACTCGGAAAGTAATTGGCGCGTAGAAGTCTGCCCACGAGCGACGATGGGTTTGCCAAAAGTCTCCATCCTTGCTTAGCTAATAGGGTTATATTAAACTTTACCATGTCCCTATGCCCCAAACCTCCACAACCTTTTGGTAGACTTAAGGCCTCTCACTTACACCAGTGAATGTTATTTCTGTTTTTTGCTCTACGCCACCACAAACGAGCCATTATTCTTTCAAACTCTTTGCACGTACTTTTCGGCAATAAGAATACATTCATAGCGTAAATCAGCAGACCTTGTAGAACTGACAGCATAAACACATCCTTGCCACCTTGAGATAGCACTCTAACACTCCAACTGCGAATATGCACGTGGAATCTGTCGTAAATTTGTGCAAACGCTGCTCATTTATTTCGGCAAACAATCGTCAAAAGGCCCAGGTACTTCTCCGAGTCAAAAGAGTTAGAAACCTCAAGGATGTGTCTCACATCGCTTCTGTTCTCGTCATGGGCATTTGAGTTGAAAAATACTCCAGATTTATCAAAATTAATAACTTGACCCGAGCACTTACCATAAATTCGAAGTAATACTTTTAAATGGCCTGTTACCTCTTCCTTAGCCTCCTCAAAGATCAGGTTGTCATCATCAAAGAATAGATGAGAAATCGAAGGGGCATACCTATTAATTTTCACCCCCTGAAACCTACCAACTGAAACAGCATGAGGATAAGAGATGATAACCCTTCACTGCAAATCAAAAACAAGTAGGGGCTTAGAGGATCCCCTTTGACATAAGCCACTTTCAGGCTGAAATCTGGTACCCGGGACCCCATTTAACACAATCGAGTATGATATTGAATTTATGCAATGCTTCAGTAATCAATCTAGACAGAAGAAAACCCCATACGACCCATGATCTCCCATACAAAACACCATTCAACCCTATCATACGCCTTACTCATATCAAGTTTCAGCGCAAAATACCCTATCATACACTTGTCTCGAATTCCACCGGACCTCCTATACACTCTCTCAAACCTCTTGTCCTTACTACTGCCTCTTACCTGCCTAGAATCTGAACTATTGCACTCAGAACGAGAAGAAATCCATTCTAGTTTTTTCCTGAACCAATTGCACCGGCGGCGAAACCACAATTTCATACTCCTCCCCTTCTCTCACCCCCTTCTCAAATTAATAACCAGTCATACCAACATCATTTAACTCTGACCCTCGACCAACACCCTCCTTTATAACAAGTTCCTGATCACTTAGAGACTCTACCCGAACTTCTCTAATTTTTCTAGCACCCATAAGCTCTAAATTAATAGCTGGCCCAAATGGAATAATTCTTAGGATGGGTGAACTGAGCTCACTGCTGTTTACGGACTGGGCTTGTTCATTACCCACCAAAATCTCATTTTTCCTACACCCCAGCCCCTCAAAGTCTCCTCTATGATCACCACTCAAATCAAGGAAATTTGACATCCTTCATCATTATGTTCCCCATCACTTTCCTGTTGCGTTGACTTCAATCCCCCACAGTCGCCAACAAAACCAGCAACTCCAGTCTCATCCAATCACTTTTCAATCCTTAATCGGTTCTCCTTAGCTGAATATCACATCTATCAACTACCCACCTACCCTACTTTCTTCCTCATTCTCCGACGCTGCAACCTCATCGGACATGTCATCCGAGCCTTCCTCTGATATTCTTTACGAATCTTCAACCGAATTTCTAAACATTGACCCTGGCTTTATTTTAACCTTGTATGATCTCCCATAAGCTCCTAAAGTGATCCAGTCCGGAACGTCGAAAGGGCTCGCCACCTTCAACAGTACCTTTGCCACCGACATATCCTCCCTCTTCATCGTACAATCCTGAATGCTCATAAACTTCCCCCCACCGTCCAACCAGCTTCTCCAAAAAAAGGAGTATTCCAACATAGCAGTGGAACACCATAAAGTTCGAACGAGCAAAACGCCTTTGGGCAACCTTCTTCACTCAAAATAGGATCGAGCCAGTCAAACCAGAATAATAATTCTTCCTTCTTCTTCAACCATATCTCCTGCAGCTCTTCTGTCGAACCAAAGGTGACAATACAAGAGTTCTATGCATAACCCCATCTGGCGACCCTAACCTTGATCCCATCACTGGCCAAACCTTTCTGAACCAACTCAAAATCAAATAATGGTTTAACAATCCCTGTCATAACCATTTTTTAAAACAATTATGGTTTATTTATTTTATTATTCTATTATTATTTTTTTAAAACAATTATGACTTTAATTTGGAAAAATTAGTGATTTTGAATGGATTTGAATAAAATTGAAAAGAGTCGCCATCGACCTTTGGGTTAGGTAGGTCAAATACCTAAAACGTCTTTTAAAAACAATTTTTAAGAAAAATAATTTTATAAGACAAAATTTTGGTCTACGTTACCAAAGATTCATTTAAAATAGGTTCGGGAGTCGGTTACGTGTGGGGAAGGGTAAACACCCCCACAAAGCCCAAAATTGGTACTGTGTAGCTTACACATCGTCGTAAATGGTGGAAATTACAATTTGAATATGAAGTAAAAATATGATCTATTCATTGAATATTGGTTAAAATAATAGAAATACTTAACTTGGTAAGAAATCTCGAGATTTGCAATCCTCCAACGGGAAAGCTATCTCATCTATTTCTCATCTATAAAGTATATCCTATCTTTGAATTACCACTAAATAATATCATCATGAGTAGAAAATAAAATATGCTTAATTTATGTATCGTTAATATTAACATAACAACCATTAATACAATAAAAATTATGAAAATAGAATAATAAATAAATTATGATCTATTTATTGAATATTAGTTAAAATAAATATATAAAAAATAAAAAAAATCCTTTTCTCGATAAGAAATCCCGAGATTTGCAATCCTCCGCCGGGAAAGCTACCTCGTCTATTTCTTACTTGTAAAGAATATTTTCTCTTTAACTTAAAAAAAAAAAAATAATGACGAAAATTGACATAAAATGCATCATATTATACTTTTCCAAAGCATACATCATTCATATTAAGAATCAAGAAATAAATAAATAAGGATTAAAATTTAAACATCAAACAATATGAACATAAAATAAAATAAAATAACAAGAATAGAATAACAGTAAAAAATTTTCATAAGCTCGTACAAAGGAAGAATTTGTGCTTTCAAATCCATATTTTATTTGAACGTCGTATCGGATTGCACCACTTCGGTCAAATAGTACTTTCCACGCCCGTTCTACAATTTCATGTTCTTGAAAAATATTTGAATGAAATTAACAACTAAGGAAATAAAATAGAAACAAATATGATTGCAAATGACAAATAAAATATTTACAATATTAAATAAGAACATTTACTATACATGTATAAAGGATTGAAAAGCAAACAATTAAATATTACAAACCAAACTAAAATACCAAAATAAATCATTTAAGGCAATAAAATGTAATTAACGGAAATTAAAAGAGCTAAAATGACAAAAAAATATTAGGGACTAAACTGCAAAAATACAGGAAATTAAAGAACCAAAAATAGATATAATCGAAACTTTAGAAACCAAAATGAAAAAAAATGAATTTTGGGAACTAAAACAGTAAAAACAGAATCTTCAAGGGCTAAACAGCAATTACAAAACAAACAGAACCCAAATATAAAACATTAAAAATACAAATACTAGAAACCAAAAATAACTCAACAATATTATTAAGGACTAAAATAAAATGAAAGTAAAACAAGCAAGCCATATTCAGCATTTAACCCAATATAAAAGTAGTGATCAAAATGCATTCAGAATCAAAATACATGGATTATAAACATGAATAAAACATGTATTTCTTTTACATAGTAAATAGTGACTAAAATGAACCAACAATAAACTATACTGCACATGTATAAATAAATTAAAGTTTGATGGCTGAAGCACAAATATAACCACAAAAATATTTAATAGCAAATAATGACGAAAATGTAACAAAAATAAAATAAAAGCTCAAAATGAAATGATGAAATTTCATTAAAGTGGTAAGATTACAACCATTACACAAGCTACAGGGACCTTAACTGTGGTTTACCCATAAATGCTAAGAGCACGCGTGCAAGATTACAGAGATAAGGGGACCAAATAGGCTATTAGCCCTTAATCCCATCACTCGGCCTCCCCTGTCTCAGAACGACGTCGTTTGACGTCTGAGATATACCCTTTAAGGGTTATTATGAAACCCTAAAAATCATTTTATTCTCCCCCCATCAGCCGTTTCACTCGTTCTTCCCTCATAACAGAGAGCCGAAAAGGCTCTCAACCTTCCTTCTTCTCAACCCTTCTCTCTAGCAAACAGAGAACCCAAAACTCCCCGGCCACCGTAGATCGGTGGCCATGGGGAGTAGCCTCATCTCTCTCTCACCTAAAAACCTAAGCGAATCAAAACCCCAAAACCCACTGTACTCCAACCCTAACCAACCTAGAAGAGGAGAAGGCTTTACCTTCAGATACGGGGCTAGCTGGGATCGGAGAAGGTCACAACGAGGTTCACGGTGGTGGTTCGAGGAGGAGGTAAAACTCTTCTTTCTTCTCTCTTTTTTTTCTGTTTCGAATTTCTCTATGTCCTTTCGTTTCTTTTTTTTTGTTCTTTTATCTTTGCTTGCCTCTGGATTTCCATTGAAATGATGATGATATCTAGGTAGATAGGATTTGATTTCTCTGATTTGGGTGAATAAAATCCAGATTTTTCGGGATTTTCGGGTGTTATTTTAATGGGTTTTTAGATTTGGGGTAAGTTTAGGCCACTGTTCTTTGATTTGGTTACTATTTTTACAGGAACCGGTCACTGTTTGATGGATGGATTCCTCACAGCTCCGATGACAGCGGCGGTGAGGGAAGCAGCCAGCTTGAACGGCTGGGAAATTGAAGGCCAAACGGCTGTGGCGGCTGAGTAGGGGATTAGGGTTTGAAACCCTAATTTGTTTTAGGGTTTGAAACCCTAATCTGATTTAGGGTTTGAAACCCTAATCTGATGGGTTGTTGGGCTCCGGGATTGGGCCAATTGGGCTTCGGGTTGTTGGGCTCCGGGATTGGGCCTTTGTAATCTGAATTGGGCTTCTAAGCCTACAAAAAAAATGTAATATGTAAAATTAATAATAATAATAATTAATAATAATAAAATAAAATAAAAAAATAAATATAAAAGACCCGGACAAAAACGGGTGTCTACAGCTGCCCCTCTTTGCACATACTTGTGTTAACAAGAACAGTGCAAAGACGACAAGCCAACACGTTTTTGTCTGGTTCTCCCTTTCAAACTTAGAAATTGAATAATGTTGGTTGTTGGGGACGACACTGCTCATACGTGATGAAGAGTTCGGGTCGTCTAAGGGAAACACGATTCCTACGTGATGAAGAAATCTGGTCAAGGGATGATACGGCTCATACGCGATGAAGAGTTCTGGTCATCTTTAAGAAGGGTGATAACTCGGTTCCTACGTGATGAGGACGGCTGATTATCTAAGGTTGACACAGCTCCTACGTGATAAGGAAGTCTGGTCGTCTAAGGGTAGATGACATGGTTCATACATGATGAAGAACTCTGGCCATCGTTAGGAAGGGTGATAACTCGGTTCCTACGTGATGAGGACGGCTGGTTATCCTAATGTTGACACTCTCCTACGTGATGAGGAGATCTGGTCAGTTGATGTTGACTGATTCATTGCTTCAATAATAAAATAAGTCTCGAAGATCCTGTAAAAATGGTCATATGCCATGATTTCATGTTAGCAATATGCCCTAAGGATGATCTAAATGCATGTTTA